ATATCTCCTCCTTACTTTGACATCAATAACAATAGCTACTTAATTTCAAGATCGTGTAAATATTTCTTTACAAGTATCTCGCATGTTTATCTCTGAAATAATATCTTACGACGCTCGCCTTTTGAAATTAATACCAACAACGTCCAACGAGGTTAACTAATAAACTTTATCTAAAGACTATTCTTTCAGTTCAGCTATTTATCTTATCTTCCTCTAATAATTCCAATCTCGTAATTGTTCCGCTATATTCTCATTAATTTCACCCATAAAGCCACTTGTCACTACCGTGTCATTTCACCGAGCTTCGCTTCGGTATCGCCTTCAGAAATAGCGATCCTCTTTCGTGATCCGTTTCTTTTTTTTTTTTTTCCACGATGCACGCAACATCTTTAATGGGGCTTTAATTCCGGTAATTTCCAATGTGTCTTATCACGTTCTCCTCCATTGTGCATGCCTGTCATTTGAAACACAATTTACCACGAAATTATCGAGCGCTGAAATTGTCGAGAAACACGTGCAAGAGTTTATCCGCTGCTCATTCGATTCCACTGATACTCTACTTTGTACAAATTCTACAAATGATTTCACTTGTCACTCGATGGTCCCATTCGTGCGGAACGATAAGTCAGAGATCTGATTTACCGGGGTCGAAGGATTTATTTGTCCAATTGTCACCAAATTTCAAGTCGATAACTTCGAAGGAAGAATGATCGACGGAGTTCCTTACGAAAGAAATCGTACTTTCTTGGCGCGGAGGGATGGGGAAAAAAGGGGTGTTTTGTAGAACACGCCATCTGGTTACATAGGCGTAGGTAGACTGGCTGTTTTCACGCGATCGCTAATTGTTAATGCCTCGTATCGCCTCGTAACGAAAGTTATTCGCGCGCGCGTGTGTGTGTGTTATATCCTGTTAAACCGCAAATGTTTCGCGATGCAAAAGTTGATTTTGCCATTTTTAATTTCGCTCTTCCCTTCCTCCCTGTCACGAATATTCGCCTCTTCTCGCGACTGTCGATCTTCCCCGATCAGATTAACTCTCCCTACCGTTGTTTTAATCACTTGCGCCGGCAACCGATTGCGGACCATAACGAGTGACCGAACCGTTGTATAGAATAACTCGTCGCTTTCTTTCAAAACTCCTCGGTGTGACATCAAACTGGATAGAGATTATTTGAGAAGTAATAAATTTATTACACGTTTCGTTCGGGTTATACTTAAATATACTTAAAACTGAGGAAATGCTTGCAATTTTGGAAGAAAAAATTCTCGACGTGCGTGGCACGTCATTGTAGCGCAAGTGGTTAACCGCTTGAGCTGGTAACCGATTGCGGACCATAACGAGTGACCGAACCGTTGTATACAATAATTCGTCGCTTTCTTTCAAAACTCCTCGGTATGACATCAAACTGGATAGAGATTATTTGAGAAGTAATAAATTTATTACTCGTTTCGTTCGGGTTATACTTAAATATACTTAAAACTGAGGAAATGCTTGCAATTTTGGAAGAAAAAATTCTCGACGTGCGTGGCACGTCATTGTAGCGCAAGTGGTTAACCGCTTGAGCTGGTAACCGATTGCGGACCATAACGAGTGACCGAACCGTTGTATACAATAATTCGTCGCTTTCTTTCAAAACTCGTCGGTGTGACATCAAACTGGATAGAGATTATTTGAGAAGTAATAAATTTATTACTCGTTTCGTTCGGGTTATACTTAAATATACTTAAAACTGAGGAAATGCTTGCAATTTTGGAAGAAAAAATTCTCGACGTGCGTGGCACGTCATTGTAGCGCAAGAGGTTAACCGCTTGAGCTGGTAACCGATTGCGGACCATAACGAGTGACCGAACTGTTGTATACAATAATTCGTCGCTTTCTTTCAAAACTCGTCGGTGTGACATCAAACTGGATAGAGATTATTTGAGAAGTAATAAATTTATTATTCGTTTTGCCCGGGTTATACTTAAATATACTTAAATATACTTAAAACTGAGAAAATGCTTGCAATTTTGGGTAAAAATACAGGAAATTGTGTTCCGCGAAAGCGCTGTTCAATTAACACTAGAACTACCAAAGTGGCAAAAATGACCAATTTATAATTTGGAAATCTTATATACTCGTATGTACTTGTATATTAGTAGTTTATATTTAGTAGTTTCTCATAAAATTATATATTGACAGAAACTTGTGTTCTTTTTCTTGTATCTTGCATTTTAATTTCTTTGCTGTAAATAATACCCATAATTAATGTCTTTTTTTCATAAAATTTCATAAACATTGCCATTTAGTGACAATAATTTAAAAGAAATAATTTAAATAAAACAGCATCGAGAAACAATATTACTCGTGGATATAATAGTACACTTTATAATACTTTATAATATATACTAATCTATGCATACTATATAATTCTATAATCTGTACTCCATAATACTTTATAATATATTATATTATACTTTAGTCGCCGGTAGTTCCAGTGTTAAAAGTCAAGTTCAATATTCTAAATTGTCTCAGATCTTTGGGGAGCCAGTGCGAAGTAACTTTTGCTAAGTTTATGAGTTTACCAAGTAGGTTGACCATGCCTTAAAACACAACGACTGGCAATTGTAGTAAAATAGATTTAGGTATAGGTGAAATTACCTAAAATTAGATACCTAAATCTATTTACTACAACTGTAGCAATTGTAGTAATTTCATATATACCTAAATCTATTTTACTACAATTGCCAATCGTTGTATTTTAGTATGCAAATTATATAAAAAACGCAATTGTAGTAGTGAATAGATTTAGTTATCTAATTTCATGTAATTTCACGTGAATTTTTTCGATTATTCGCGAATCTGTTTAGCGGAGAGCGAAATTTATAAATAACTTGTTAATTATCGAGAAGTTGGGACTGGGTTCGCAACGAATCCACCTACCCGGGGCATTTTTCTTTTGCAATTGCACGTTTGAGACAAACTTTTAAGTATATATACAGTGGTGATTATCAGCAGTGGCAAAGCATTTAATTTATTACATAATACGATATTCTTAATGCATGCTTGTCACGTAAACTGCCTTGGATTTTCGTCTCACTTCACCCTTTTTTTCCTTCTGAGAATTTAACAACGATTGGCTAGACTTCTGATTTAAAAAAATAAACAAAGCAGTTTCTACAAAGTAGTTTTCAAAGTTATCATTTTCATATTGATTTCAAAAAAAAAAAAAAAAATCCTACGCTGCATCATAGATGATTTTATGATTTGACCACGATTGGCTAGAGTTTTGATTAGAAAAGACCAAGCAATTTTTACAGTAGCTTTCGAAGTTGATATTCCTTTCATACTGATTTGAAAAGATCCAACGTTGCATTATAAGATAATTTCACGAGGCATACATCAAGATGTTAATGTCGATGTCGAGGGTGAACAGACTATTGCAATTTCAATTCTCTTCAAGAAATTCTCTGTTCCACATAGATTCTAATATTCTCATTTCGCGAGATTTGAGGAAACTGAGATTCGCGGGTGATCTCGACCTAATAAAATTTAGATTATCAGATGCAACAAGCAGATGAAAATGTGACCAATGAAAACTTTCCACCGACAAAAGTGACAAATGTGTATACCGATTGCGATAAGGTTTCGTTCCCGGTGCATGATTAACCAGATTTAGGTCGATCCAGATCCGACGTATCATTTCGTTCTATTCCACTGCCTCTCGATTTCTCAAGGCTCCCTTATGCAAATTTACACGTTAATAATTACGATTACACGCATCCCGAGAAAAAATTGCACATAACAATATTTGCAAATTGGGATAATTATTTATACGTAGGCTCGTATTATTCGGTTTTCATGTTTTTATGTTTTCGAAACCGAGCCGAACTGAATTACCTAAAACAAACTGAACTAACAAAACAATTAACAATGATGCAAACTAAATTAAGGAGACGATCATCTCCAACGTAAACGTGGAGCATAATTTTAAGAAAATTATAGCGAATCTAACCTAAAACTGATTAAATGAACTAAATTAAATGAATTAAATTAAATGAATTAAATGAATTAAATGAACTAAATTAAATTAATGAAATAATCATCTCCAACGTAAACGTGACGCATAATTTCAAGAAAATTGGTAGACAGCAATCTGAATTATAGCGAATTCTGAACCTAACCTAAAACTGATTAAATTAATTAAAGTGAGGTAAATCAACAAAACGATTAATAATGAAATAAATTAAATTAACAAAGTAATCATCTCCAACGTAAACGTGAAGCATAATTTCAAGAAAATTGGTAGATGGCAATCTGAATTGATGGCAAATCCCGAATCTAACCTAAAATTCCCAACAAAAAAAAAAAAAAAAAAAATTTAACAGAATTTTCTTGCGCTGGAATGATGTTCCACGCGCGTCGAGAATTTTTCGTCCCGAAATTGCAATATTTTCTCAGTTTTAAGTATATTTAAGTACAACCCGGGCGAAACAAATAATAAATTCATTGCTTCTCAGTAATTTCTATCCAGTGATGTCGTACCGACGAGTTTCAAAAGAAAACGCAAGCAACGAATTATTCTATATACGGTTCTGGTCACTCGTTATGGTCCGCAATCAGTTGCCCGGCGCAACTGGTCAATAAAGTTGAATACAACAACTCAAGCTCCCGTTCGTTTTAAAATGTTTCAGGTGTTGTTCCGAGTGAAAAATCATCGGCTACCAGTACCAGCCAGCTACCCTAATTGGCCTAAAATGATCGCGGCCAATCCGAGATAATATCGTCAAAGGCACGTTTCAATGAGAAGACACCCTGTGGACAGTGTGTTCGCGCAAAGAGTGTGAAGAACGTAGAAGAATGTGACGAGAGAAAAGGAAGACTAAGAAAGAAAGAAAGAAGAAGAAGAAGAAGAGAAGAAAGGTGGCGGAACATTCGATGAGAAAGATTGTCGAAACTCGCAGTGTGCTCAAGTGTGCTGAAGAGAACGAGGTGAGGAACTGAAGGGATCGGTTGGAAAATGCCTCGACCGTCGAGGGACACTTACGGCGACCAGAAGCCGCCATACTCGTACATCTCGTTGACTGCGATGGCGATCTGGTCGTCGAGGGATAAGATGCTGCCTCTCGCCGAGATCTACAAGTTCATCGCCGATCGGTTCCCCTACTATCGGAAGGATACTCGCAGATGGCAGAACTCGCTGAGGCACAATCTGTCGTTCAACGACTGTTTCATCAAGGTATCGTGCCGTCTCCTCTTGCTACTTGATTACGATATTTCTTTAGGTTAGAAGATTAGGTTGTAGGCTAGGTAATTGTGGCAAATGAACATTCTCGATCAGACTCGAATTCAAGTGAAATCATTGACTTTCGAACGCACGAATCCCGAATTCAATTCGGTTAATTGGAAAACTGGAGAACTGGAAGATCTTTGGAACTGTATTGGATAGATCGAGTTATATATTTTTTAGAGAAGCACTTTCACGAGGTTAGATATTATTGGCAAATCGTCGCCTAGAACAGTGACGGCGAACCTTTTTGAGAAGTAGGTCAAATTTTGTTCATTATTTTTTTTTAGTACCAGCTCGTGGGTCACTAAGGGTCAGTGGCGTCACTTGGAAAGGGAGAGAGGAGGATGGTTAAAAACTATTTTTTTTTTCTCAGCTTTATAATCCTCTAAAAAGTTTCCTTTTTGTTTGACAACTTTTACTTTTGCAAGTGAAGAGCAAAAAGTAAATGTCGACGTCAAAAAATTGATACAAAAGGGGTGACATCGTGCCTAGTCACCCCTGCACTATACATTAGATATATATACTTTATTTCTTAATATTTTTTATTGTCTGTTCTCTCTTTTATTATATAAAAAACTGGCAAAGCTACCCATTCTGAGAATAGGATCTAGTGTGTTTTTTTATTGTTTATTACATCTGTTTAATCGTAAGCTATATAAAATTTTTCGGACACTCAACTAACTCATATAACATTTAAGACTTAAGATACCTATATGTATACATAACCAAGTCGTAAATCCTCCATAAAACACAATTATGCATTTATTTCTCCCCTTTAAAGCTCTAACCGAACACTTGTAATTTTTTTTAACATTTTTTGAAAAGCGGGGTTCGAAAAATAATTAAAATTCTTTTATATATATGACGATAAGTTTATAAAAATCAACGCGTGGGTCATTTAAAAAGCCTGCGTGGGTCAGTGTCTGATCCGCGGGTCATAGGTTCGCCATCATTGGCCTAGAAAGTTCGAGAACCTTTCTAAACACGAAACACGAGAGGCTCACTCGGCGATCAGCTTTGATTTTATTTCACACCTACACTTCTGTAGCTTTTTTTTTTAACAAATTGCATCTAATTATTAGACTACAGACTGTTGAATCCGTATTTATAACAGTTACTTGTCAGAACGAATATTCGATCTCTTGGAATATTTAAAATAAATATAGTTTGACTTGATTTAACAAGGCACTTTAATAAATTCACACTTACACGCTTACGAGACAGTACGAACGGAAAAAAGAGCAGGCGACCATTAAGGACACACACATATAAACACGGTAAATGTCTTAGCATGACGAACCTGTCGTGATTAGTATCACATTTCAACACGATCTTCAATTTCAATCGATTTCTTTTGCAAAAGAAATATCAAATCGTATCTGATTATTGAACTACGAACTCTTGAATCGTGTTTAATCATTATTAAGCTATTTATAGCAGTCACTTGTGTGTCGGAACACATTTGATTTTCATAATCGATGCACAAACATCCGGATTGCAACAACTAACAGAGAAAATAATCCTTTGCCTAGCTTCTAGCGTTCTAATTAATTACGCGTAAGTAATCAAATCTGCATACATACATACATACGTCGACATCATTTTGTAAAAAAGATCGAAACGATCTTCACGTTTCTTTTCAAAATTCCAAGATTAATGGGGAATATACAGGGTGTTTCGTAACTTGTGGGATTGTACGCCTAAAAATAACGAAAAAAAGTCATATAAGTATATGTCCTATCTATCTTCGTTTATGAGATATAATGAATTTTCTGTTTTAATTATTATTACAAAAGATGCTCGAAATGACCACCTTGCATCTGAAGACAAGCCTGTGTACGCGTTTTGTCATTGATCTGTTACTCTTTCTATTCTTTCTGGTGTTTCTCGAATTTGTCGGAAGCCTTGCTCTATTCTATTTCGTAGTTGCGTATACGATAGATTTTAAATGTCCCCACAAGTGAAAATCTAATGGTGTCAAATCCGGAGAACGAGCAGGCCGTGCAATAGAACATCCACGACCAATCCATTTATTTGCAAAGTGTTGATTTAAAATGCGGTATGCGGTTTATGCATGATGGAGCTCCGCCGCATTTTAGCCGAGTGGCCGGGCAACTTTTAAATCAACACTTTGCAAATAAATGGATCGGTCGTGGATGTTCTATTGCATGGCCTGCTCGTTCTCCGGATTTGAATCCATTAGATTTTCACTTGTGGGGACATTTAAAATCTATATTGTATATGCAACGTCGATTGAAAATGCTGACATACTACGAAATAGAATAGAGCAAGGCTTCCGACAAATTCGAGAAACACCAGAAAGAATAGAGAGAGAGAGTAACCAGATGAATGACAAGACGCGTGCAGGCTTGTCTTCAAATGGAAGATGGTCATTTCTCGAGTATCTTTTGTAAAAGTAATTGAAACAGAAAGTTCATGATATCTCATAAACGAGGACAGATAGGACATATATTTATATGACTTTTTTCCATTATTTTTAGGCGTACAATCAGCTCCCGAAGTGGGTCCGAAACGAGTACGAAACACCCTGTATAATATGGAAGAAAAGAAGAAGAAAAATAACAATCTCGTGAAAAATGGAGAAAAAAAGTTTTAAAGAGGGGACAATTAATTGGGGACAAATGGATTTAACTAGCTGGAGGAAGACCATTGGTAAGACAATTGTTTTCTGCCTGGTAACCGCGAGATCGAGGCGCAGGATAAGGGAAGTGGAGACATGATTAATGAAACTTAATTCCTCCTACCAAGTTCGAGGCGATTATTCGTAGACGATTTAGTACGTAGCTTACGGAAGTTGATAATTAACAATCAACTCCGTAAGCGTTCTTTAGCTTAAAAATAGAACTCGTAGATAATAAATATACTGCTCGCAAAAATTAGGCGATATTTGCATCGGATCTTGCAAGAAGCATTTGATTTTTTTTTCTTTTTTTTTTGTTGAACAAGAACGCCAGAAAAGCAACATCGAATACTTCTGTTTTTTTTTTTTTTATCGCTTCATATTCATTTTGAAATATCCCCTAATTTTTGTGAGAAATGTAGTATATACACAACCGAAGTGTTTCATCACCGAATTTTTTCATGAAATTTGGCATAAACATAGCGTTCAGAAAAAAATATTTGACCTAATCTCAAAATTGGAGGAGTGCGGAACACATTTTGTCCAAACAATATATTAAAAAAGAAGCCAAAATATTTTTCACAAGATTATCCAAGTAAATGTCAATAAATATCTCGGAATTTATATTTATTTAATATTCACATAAATATTTTATATTATAATTTATTTAAATATTTCGGACAATTTCGAATATTTGTTTACTATACATTCAAACACAAACTACAGAGTAATAAAATGGATAATTATAAAAAAAAAAATTCATTTTCAAATTTTTCTGTACAAAGATCATCCTCTAGAAAAACGAGGACGAGAAATCAAAAAAATTGAAATTTGAAAGAATCTTACCATCTTCGCTTTCTGCTAGCTGTTCCTCATCATCCAAATTTCAGCAACCAGTTGTCGGACAGCAGCGAACAATTGGCATTTGTTTGCCCATCCAATGAATTTTGTTTTTCGAGGGAGACCTCGTCCCACGAACAGCTACATTTAGGCATGTACTTGCTTACTCGTTCGCTTCTTTCGTTCGCGTGTGTGAATGTTAATGTCGAATCAATTGCATATACATAAGCTGTTATTAACGACGATGATTTGGAGTAAACGCGCTTATTACAGGGAATTGAATTTCATTACGGAACCCCCCGGAGAGGGGGGGGGGGGAGAATACTTGTAATATTCGATGGTTATCACTTGTGATTTTCATTTGAAGTTTCTTTTAATACGCTCTTTTTACGCGACCGTAAGACTCCCTATTCGCATACGTGTAAAAATAGGCTTGGATATGATCTATCACAGATCATGTTTTAATTTTAAGGCTGAGAGAAGTAGTGGAGACAAAAATATATATATATATATATATATACAAAAGTAGTGGAAATATAAGTAGTGGAGACAAAAAAATATATATTGTAATAATATCTAATAATGTATAATATATAATATAATATTGTAATAATATATAATATATATAATATATATTGTATTATGTTTTAATCTTAAGGCTAAGAGAAGAAATACAAGTAGTGGAGACAAATATATATAATAATAAAATAGTAGAAATAGTTCCCAATCTATTTCTGAGACTATGTCCCAAGCATATCTAAAATCCTAATGCCTGTCTCAGTAACACTAATAATCCTCATTATTCAAAAAAGTGAATCTTTGATGTAGAGCCTAAACAAGCTTCCAAAGAACATGACATCCAAATTGGAAAGAGAAACATAAAAGAGCGTAAGGACAGTCTAAGTACCTTGAAGAGATGACTAAGAAATTATTGAAGAAAAATAATTAAACGAAGTGATAACACAAACGGCAAATAAAGTTTTAAAACACACTTTGGTTGTGTGTTCCCTCAATAGTATATAATATACTACATTTCTCACAAAAATTAGGGGATATTTCAAAATGAATATAAAGGAGAACTGAACAGATGTAATAATCTTAATGGAAGCTGTTTCCCATGTGATACTTCGATTATTTGAATGATTATAAAATAAAATAAAGACTACTTGATAAATTCAAAATATAATTTGAGCTCATCACGAAATGCAAAGAAATTTACCATTAATAACTCATTCTCGAATTACCTCACGTTGGGAACCACGGATTATGGATAATCACTCTACATAACCTCAAAATATTTTCCCATCAAAGTTCGTTGTAGATAATACCTTGTACGTAAATTCACGTCATTGGTTTGTTTTTTCTTTGTCAGAGCGAACTATCCGACTTAAAAAAACTTTTCAAGAAATTCGTTCAATTAATTTTCCTTCGAACAATTAATTAATAAAACACATAACTGACAATGAGTACGTATAAGATTTTTTGCTGTCAAACTTTCAAACCTTGAGTTCGCCCCCAGGAGACGTTGGGCTCCACGTTGTAGAGTATTCCACTGAATATGTCGATGGATTCGAATGCACACATCCAACCAACGTGTCACAGACAATTTTCAATCGCGTTATAATAATTTTCTAATTACCGTAAAGGCGAGCAAAGAATCCAAACGAGTGATGAAGCGCGCGTCTACAGCGACTCGATGTGTCCATTACTTGAACTAAATTTAAATTCATAAAGGCTGATTGTGAGTCGCATTCGGTTACTATTTATTTTCAATTTTATCGCTCGAATTTATCAACACGCCGACCACAAGCAAAGAAGAAAAATAAGAAGAATAAGAAGAAGAAAAAGAAGATGTACACGACGAAACAAAGTGTGTCCACCACCACGTGGTGTAAATTCTATAGGGCCTTATTCCATAAAAAAATTTTAAAATTTTTCTTAAAATTTATAATTTATATATGAGATAGTATATATTTTACTAATCCTTTCATTCTAGATTTCATTTAAAAATCAGTTGATTATGCTACCTTTGTACAGTCAGTTATATACTGCAGCCATTCAATTATTCATTGGGCAGATTGGCTTAAAATTATTTTCAATAAGACATGTTTTTGATAAACAGGTGAATATATTTATAATATTGTATATATAATATTGCCTAATTTTTTATATATATAATTATTAATATATTATATATATATTTATATATATACTAATTTATTTATTACTATATATATTATATATTATTAAATAATTATATATGATATATATAATATATATCTTATTAATTAATTTATTATTATATATATTATATAATATTATTAAATAATTATATATGATATATATAATATATATCTTATTAATTCATTTATTATTATATATATTATATAATATTATTAAATAATTATATATAATATATATATATATATTTATTACTAATTTATTTATTACCACTGAAACGCATGTTTTTACGGGATTTTTTTCGCTGCAAAAAAGGAAGATGCAATCGTGCTGCTAATTAGATCTTACAAATGAAACACGACTTGTACATCAGACATTGCGTAGATTTCTATCTGACTACGCATCCGTTTTGTTCACTCGCGTATCACGAGAGATAACACACACAAACACTGGTAATCTCTCTCTTTTTCCTTTTGTTTCTTTTTCACGTTATTGTTGAACGAACGGTGTTCAACAATATTCGAGGGATACTGTTAGCTATGACTGATGATTTTAGGGGGGGAAAAAAGAAAAGAACGAGGAAGAAAAATATCTTCGTTAGTTCCTAATATCTTTGTATTAAATTTTTAAATCTGACTTGCAATTAGTACAACTCAATCTAACAAACGAATTGTTAGGTAATAAATGAATTACGTCTGCCTCGAATCTTTGCTAACCCCTGTGAATATTTGAGATTTAATTATACTTCCTGCCATTCAGGAAGATTCAATTCAAACACTCGCTAAGTGACACTAAAGTAAAAAAAGTGTGGTCTGTGAATAATTTCAAATTTCCAAAAACACAGTGCTGCAGATCTACGGAATCACAAATTAATCATTTCGTACGATCACGGTGGTCGAAATAATTTCAAATTTCCAAAAATACAGTGCCTGTGGATCTACGGAATCACAAATTGATCATTTCGTACGATCACAGTGGTCCTCTAACTAACTTCTAAATAATTTCAAATTTCCAAAAACACAGTGCTGCAGATCTATGGAATCACAAATTGATCATTTCGTACGATCATAGTGGTCGAAATAATTTCAAATTTCCAAAAATACAGTGCCTGTGGATCTACGGAATCACAAATTGATCATTTCGTACGATCACAGTGGTCCTCTAACTAACTTCCAAATAATTTCAAATTTCTAAAAACACAGTGCTGCAGATCTATGGAATCACAAATTGTACGATCACAGTGGTCGAAATAATTTCAAATTTCCAAAAATACAGTGCCTGTGGATCTATGAAACCACAAATTGATCGCACTCGTCCACGATCACGTTAAACGAGCAAGATCTCGCGTATCGAAACGGATCGGGGATTCTGAACGCAGAACGAATCGAACGAATCGCGGAAACAGCCGAAAAACGAAGAAGAAGAAGAACGAGAAATAAAGAACGAAGAGGGAGGAGCAAAAGGGACGAGTGGATCCTGGACATTAACTCGATCGTGTTTCTCAGCGATTTGGGTCGAGGCAGGTGCGAAACAGATGGTCGAGAGAAATACAACAGAAACTAAGGAGAGACAGAGAGAGAGAGACAGAGAAAAGAGAGAGAGAGAGAGAGAGAGAAAGAGAGGGAGGGAGAGCTTGTCCTACAACATTATTTAACACGAGCCGCGACGTGGTCACAGGGGACAAGAATAACAAAAAGGATCGGCTCGTTTTGTTCCAGCGAATTCGTACGATCGTTTTCCGCCTTCTAATCATCCCGCAGAGATTTCGTTAATGAGTATCTATTTGTGTTTTTTGTTCTTTTTCACTTTTCCTTCCTCTTTTCGAGAATGATAATACACTATTATACGTTATCTATGGGTATCATATTTTTTTCTTTTACACTGTTCTGTTGGTTTTCGCAGCAAGATGCGTCTGATTGAGTATATAAGAGAGTATATAAAAGAGAGGTATAATATATATACATATATAAATAACAAGTATAATATATATACATATATAAATTTATTATATTTATATATATTTATATTTATTATATTTATATATATATATTTATAAATATAAATATATATATAAATTATTTATAAATATATATGTATATATATATATATATAAAATATATAATAAATATAAATATATATATAATAAAATAAATATAAATATAATAAATACAATATGTATAAATAAATATGATAAATTTATATATAATAAATACAATATATATAATATAATAAATACAATATATATATATAATAAATACAATATATAATAAATACAATATATATAAATAAATATAATAAATTTATATATAATAATTACAATATATATATAAATGTAATAAATTTATATATATATAAATATATATATTTTTTAACGTTGAACAGGTGCAACGCAAGGATCGGCTGTAAATTAACTGTTACGAGGTCATTTTTATGATAATTCGTTAGTAATTTCAATTTTGGACGAAGATACGACAGCTTGGAACTTCAAGCTGTTTTTCGACGAAGTGAAACGCAGGATGGTCACAACGTTCGAGTACAACATCATCGGGGCCGCGAGTATAATAATTTCGGGGACATAAAGATCGAATGTATGTAGAAATACGACGAGAATGATAATGGGCGTTGATAGTGGTGAAAATTCAATTCCCCGCGGGTAGCCTGTACTCCTGTATCATTTACGGAATAGCGTTGCCTCAAATATAAATTGCAGGATGTTGAAAATTGCGAAGCTAATTTCGTTGCTACAGTTAATTCTATGTACACTTGCACAGGAAAATTCATGATGTAGAAAGTTGAATTTTTTTTCCAATTCAATCCAATTTAGATTAGTTTTTTTTTTTTTTTTTTTTTTTGTTGAAAAAGACACGAAAGGCGGGATCACGAAGTTGCCTGAAAGATAATCGAGCAAAAAAAGCAGAAGATCGTTAAAATGATCATTATATTGGCAAAGTTTTTGTTTCTCGTAAGAAACACGCCTTTCATCTCTACAAAGAAAAAGAAAAAAAAAAAAAGAAGAAGAAAAAAGACGCAGTTACTCTTTGACCAACTTAACTAACTCTGATTTAGCATCATGAAAATTAGAGACGATAATTACGACATCACCCGTCGCTGTTATATCCCATAATATATTGGTTTATTATACCACATTTTTCACCTAGTCTGACCATTCCGTTATATCTCAACTCAAGCAGAATAACAGCTCGAGAGAGCTTTTACACTACGCTGCACGACCGTGCGTTTCCTCGCGCGATATATAATAAATAGCTTGTGTAAAAAAAAAAAAAAAAAAAAAAAAACGAAAAAGAAAACTAAGAGTAGAGATACGAATTGCAAGTAGCTGGTAACCAATAACGGTACGAAAACGACGTGTGCGGTAAAAGTAGTATTAATTGAAACACTGTACGTTTAATCACTTGCGCTGGCAACTGATTGCGGACCATAACGAGTGACCAAACTATATACAATAATTCGTCGCTTTCTTTCGAAACTCGTCGGTATGATAATCACTGGATAGAAATTATTGAGAAGTAATAAATTTATTATTCGTTTTGCCTGGGTTATACTTCAACATACATAAAACTGAGATAATATTGCAATTTTGGGGAAAAAAATTGTCGACGTGCGTGGCACGTCATTCCAGCGCAAGAGATTAACCACTTAAAATAATAAATCTATTGTTTTGCCTGGGTTATACTTCAATATACTTAAAACTGAGAAAATATTGCAGTTTTGGGACGAAAAATTGTGCGTGGCACGTCATTTCAGCGCAAGAGGTTAAACAACTGATTGCGGACCATAACGAGTGACCAAACCGTATACAATAATTCGTCTCTTTCTTTTTGAAACTCGTCGATACGATATCACTGGATAGAAATTATTGAGAAGTAACAGATTTATTATTTGTTTTGCCTGGGTTATACCTAAATATACTTAAAACTGAGGAAATATTGCAATTTTGGGACAAAAAATTGTGCGTGGCATGTCATTCCAGCGCAAGAGGTTAAACAACTGATTGCGGACCATAACGAGTGACCAAACCGTATACAATAATTCGTCGGTATGATTATCACTGGATAGAAATTATTGAGAAGTAACAGATTTATTATTCGTTTTGCCTGGGTTATACCTAAATATACTTAAAACTGAGAAAATATTGCAGTTTTGGGACGAAAAATTGTGCGTGGCACGTCATTTCAGCGCAAGAGGTTAAACAACTGATTGCGGACCATAACGAGTGACCAAACCGTATACAATAATTCGTCTCTTTCTTTTTGAAACTCGTCGATACGATATCACTGGATAGAAATTATTGAGAAGTAACAGATTTATTATTTGTTTTGCCTGGGTTATACCTAAATATACTTAAAACTGAGGAAATATTGCAATTTTGGGACAAAAAATTGTGCGTGGCATGTCATTCCAGTGCAAGAGGTTAAACAACTGATTGCGGACCATAATGAGTAACCAAACCGTATACAATAACTCGTCGGTATGATTATCACTGGATAGAAATTATTGAGAAGTAACAGATTTATTATTCGTTTTGCCTGGGTTATACTTAAATATACTTAAAACTGAGGAAATACTTGCAATTTTGGGACAAAGAATTGTCGACGTGGCACGAGATTAAAAACAGACGTCGAGCAAATTGAAGCAATTCGAAGCAACGTTCCAAACGAAGTTACTTTTTCACAAATCTTCTCGAGCCTTTTTCTTCAATTCTCTCGTATTTTATAGTTTTATCCTTCTTTGATAGGTTTGAGTGTCAGTTCGAAGAGATTAGAGGAGAATATATTTCTGTAGTTTCTTCGTCACACGCAGAAGCATGTCGAAACGAGAATGAGGAGTAGCGTCGTTGAATAAATCTGCACGCGGCGCGAGCATAATGAATGCAGCTGTCTGTCATGCTTGACGTGGCCAGCGACCAACTCAAAATATCTCGCAGGTACGACCATTGACCAGCTAACTGTACCAAGTAAAAAAAAGGAAGAAAAGAAAACAGTCGAAATTAAATATATTATCTAAACAAAAGGATTCTACAGAATTTAATCATTCTAATGAAGATTGATAAAATTTAAATAAAATAAATCGTCTTGATGTCTTTCGAAAATAATATAAATTGAAAATAACAATCTGTTTATTGAAATTATTGATCCTATAATCGGAATATCGTCGTGGTATTCCTATTAATCCTAAGAAATGTTGACGAAAAAATGTAAGAGTAACACCAATAAATATAAAAAAAAAAATTGAAATTTTAATCATTTTCTGTTTACTAAATAATCCTGAAAATAATGGAAATCAGTGAATAACTAGTTTCGTTTTTTGGTTAGTTGGGCGCATTTTCAGAATAATTTCTTTCCCGTCTAAAAGGGTTAAAGTCAAAAGGAGAGTTGACCCTCTGCGAGTGGAATTTTCTACGCTTCCAGGAAAGCAGAGAGAGACAGAGAGAGAGAGAGAGAGAGAGAGAGAGAGAGAATTGCAATCGATCGTGGTCGAAGACTAGAAACCAACAACTGCTATAGACAGATGGCTCGGTAATGACAACTTTGTTGTCAGCCATAATCACACGGTAATAAAGCACGGTGGTTTAATGACGAGTAAATAGAATAAAGTTTCAGCTCTCTGATCACAAAGAGAGTCGTACAAAGATGGGAATAAAATCGAACAGTTAAAAACGTTGGCCATCGTAAAAACAAGCTTGATTTCGCCTGTACACTTTTTCTTTCTCACTCTCTTATTAAAACTAACAATATGTCAATTATTAAATTTTATTCGTCTGTTAATTCGTGTAACAGTGTGCAAACATAAACGTGTTTGCGCGTATCTACGCGTGAAATATTATTTCCATCCGGGTAGATACGAAACTTTCTACATATGTATATGCATTTATGCTAATTAAACGGCCGTGTAACCGCATACGGTGAGCTCGCCTCTAACGTGTTACGCCAGTGTGAATAGAAACGTGTGCATGTACACACGTGCACATGTACGTTTTGCTGTTTATTTTGCTTGTTTATATAACATTACACGGCCAGTGGGAAACGTGGTAATTCAGCAAATGCAAATGCTGAATGTTTATCCGACCGATTACTAATTCGTTCTGACACAGAGTGGAAAAGTCACTTCCTACCAAAATAAATCTGTAATTTCTTTTATTATATATTCTTCTTTAATTATATGTTCTCCTTTATTATATATTCTTCTTTAATTTACGAACGCTCGAACGTTTCGAGAGAAATAATTTTTAAAATGTTTCTTTAATAAAAGGAATCATGCTTGAACTTGAATTTAATTTAAAATTAATGAAATTAGTTTTTCTTTTCTTACATTTGTTAAAAAAACAGGCAGAGTTTTGTTAAAAAGAAACTCGAGTTTAATTTAAAATTAATGAGATTTGATTTTTTTCTTATATTTTGATAGAGTTGATAAATACATAAAGAACTAGCTGCAAAGCGGACTTTTGATTTTTACCAAATTGCCGTAGATGTTCAAACTTATGATATATTCTCTTCTAACTAGTTAACGCTCGCGTGGCGCTAGTGTCGCGTCAGCAAACACCAAACATTACGCCAATTTGTACAGACTAGACCAGGGGCACTCCGCCAGGTTTTTCATACATTATAAAGAGCTATAGTTACATAGTATTAAATTAACATAAATTCAAATTTAATTTAATCAATATGGTTACATATTCTACTATTATTAGTAGAATAATAATATTATTAGTTACTAATGATACTAATAAAATATTATATTACTAATATTATTATTCTATTAATAACAGTAATATTACTAATATTAGTTACTTAGTCAATTTAACAAGATTCGGTGAAAAAAAGTTCTGAAATAATAATAAAAACAACAATAATGAAAAAAAAAAAAACGAAAAACGGATTTAAATTTTCAATGGCAGCCACACAAATTAACTCAACGAAGAGTTAAGAGCTCTTTTCTACTTATTGAAAAAAATTTATTCAAATTATAAATTAACAATGAAACTGATAATATGATAAATGTAATAAATATTGAACAAATATAAGTTTGTCGAACCTTTATAAGACTAGATCTTCTCTGTACAAGGAGGCCTAGACTCTCTCGAAACGAAAAGTAACGAAAATGCTGAATACGTACTTACCGGAAGCGTAAGCCCCGTCAACTTCTGGTTGCAGGTGCCGCGGGGGCCGCATCGACCGGGGAAAGGCGCGTACTGGGCCCTGCACCCGGCGGCGCTGTCCATGTTCGAGAACGGGTCCCTCCTACGCCGCAGGAAGCGTTTCAAGCTGCACAAGCCCGACAAAGAGCTTCTAAAGTCGGAGCTGCAGGCGTTGGCCTCGGCCATGCCGCCGCCTCACTCCGAGTCGTCGCCGGTGCTGTCGATAAACCCCAACACGCAGACCAGCAGCCTCACCGTAGCGAACCTCCACCGTCTTCGGGACGATCTCCTCCGTTGGGAGCTGCAGGAACGTCGGCTGACGATGACGTCGTCCGGCGGCAACGGTTCGCCGGGCTTCACCACGCCGGAGACCAGCTCCGGTTATTACCTCCTGTCGCCGGAAGTCCGGCAGAGACTCGCCGGTACCGACGAGATCCTCCGTGGCTACGAAGCCAGCAATCTGCTGCAGACCGGAAGCTGGAGCTTCCCGGGGTTCCAGGTGTCGCCGTACGTGTCTCAGACGCTGTCCTACTTCCAGACAGAGATCCCGGACAGCAGACAGATCGGCGCCCTCCCCGGCGACAAGACTGACTCGAGGCTCTTCCCTCTGGAGACCACGAGGGGCTGCGCCACGCCGCTCGAGCCGAGCGACGGTAAAGTCGCCCGTTGTACCCCGTCAACGAACCTCGAGGCAGGCATATCCAGCCAGACGAGCATCCAACCAGAGCAGAAGCAGAAGAAGAAGAAGCCGTTCACCATCGAGAATATCATCGCCCCCGACGACGAGCAGATCTCGAGCAACTCCGAGGACGAGAAGAGGAACTCGTCATCCGGTCATCATCATCATCATCATCATCTTCTGGTACCCAGGCCACTCTACGCGGGCTTCTCGTTCGGCCTGGCTGCTAACAAAGTCCCGTACGAGACGGCCACTTGAATCGACGGCTTGTCTGGTAGACGATTCGAACGAGGGAAAAAGGGAAGAACACGATCGACGTCGCGCCAACTGGCTGCATGGTCGGTGAAATCCTGGATTATGGTGTATGCCGGGACGTCTGCAGGAAGAAAGAGGAGAAGAATTGTGAGATCTTGCGGGGAATATCTGGAACAGATATCTGGAACATCTTGGCTGCATTCTGGCAATTTGTTTCTTTTTTCTTTTTTTTTTTCTTTTCTTCTTCTTCTTTTTTAATACTCGGTTGCCTTAACTTTGCGTCTTAATTCTCCAGTCTTTCGTTCGGAGAATCGTTTTGTGCTTTGAAATTGTGCTTGACAAGTAGACTTAGTTCTCGGAGCTTTTGGTTTGGTTTCCTCAAGCCTGAGTATCGGCAAGAGTGATCCAAGAGTGAACAAAAGTGGAAACAAATGTCCGAATCGGTGAGATTCGTGATTGCTCATTGACCAGGGGGTGTCTCGTCGCAACGATCAGGCGAATGAGGTAATTTAGCAACTAAACGTTTGCACATTTGTCGTTGGTAGAAGACTTTTGACGCATCTGGACTCTCAATAGTCGGCTGATTAATTAGAAACACCGATTGAACAACAGTGGCAGAGTGAGAGGTGACTTTCTAAAGAAATATGTGAAAATTTTGAAAGTTTGCAGAAAAAGAATCGGTAACGAAGAATCAATCTAGTTAATTATTTGTCGATTAAAAGCTACAGTCGACGACGACTGGATAGAGTTCAGAGTTTCGACTGCAAACTGACCGAAGAACCGCGAAAGTATTGCAAAATAAAAAAATAGTATAAACATTTGTCGACACCAGAACTACCAAAATAATCAAAATTTGAATATTTTACCATTTCTGAACAATCGAATGTTTCCATGTCAGATACTTTATAAATGTTGTTGTTGTTATTATTTTATTTGTGAGTATCATAAGCATTTTCTTTGACTTTAACGTCTGATTGGAGACTTGAGTAGATCTGGTGTTAAATGCCACTCGCTCGATCACAAATTTCATCTTCAATTGAAAGAATTTTGCAGCCGAGATGTTTCAAACGAAAGTTTCGATACGAAAGCGAAGGTAAAATAAAATTCGTGCGGTCAGTGTTTCAATGTTTAGAAACGAGTGTTTGCACCGGTTCGTTTCGTCTCTTTTCTTTTCTCGATTCGACTAGCGTAGGAGTGAAAGAGACGAACTGGAATTATGTTGAGCGTAAATCGAACGAAACTGACGAAATCGGTTGAGTGACAACTAAGATGAAATGATACGGTGTTCGACGATTATTTGACGACTGCAAGTTGAAAATCGAAATCGGATAAATCAATCTGGCGTTCCTTTGGCAACCTGGAGTAAGAAAATTAATAATAATACACATAATATAAGAATTAATAATATATATAATATTCTTATATTAATATATAATATTCCGTATTTATTTAACATAATTCGTTGAAAGTTTCTCTGCTGATTGTAAGAGTCGCACGGCTCTGCAAATCTCTTTCGCAATATCGTCGAGCAATTCTCGAACACCGAATTATCACGGATAACGATAAATCGAGGATAATAATATATTTAATATGTTTAACAACGTGTACTTGCATTTAACAAGCAACGACACGAAACATTTGCCTGTACGTCATTGCAGCAATTTGCATTCGCTTTGCAACGAAGGATCTTGCTTGAGCAAAGGAAGGGAAAGAAAACGAAAACAGATTTAAACATTTGAAGAGGAAAGGAAAAGATGAAACGAAAAGAAAGAAAGAAAATGGAAAAGATGGTATTAACCTTCTAAGTACTAACGTTCGATATATCGACACTTATGTAATATCTGAGAAAGCTGAATGTCCGATATATCGACGGCCTCTCTCTTCTTGTTTCGAGTAGCTTGAGTCTTTATTTGATTTGATTAACTTTGAAAATATAGAAAGTACGATAACTCATATGAAAACATGTAAAATTAAACTTTGTCCTTAGAAGGTTAAAGTAGCAAGTTGAAACGTACGATTCAAAAAAGAAAAAAACACGTGACACGATTGAAACGCCATTTAGCGAACGATGTTTGAAGAAAAGCGCCGAAGAGGCGCGTCTACCAACATTACGAGCGTAAAAAAAAAAAAAAGAAAAGAAAAGAATTAACACAGAGGAGATTAACTCGAGTGAAAGTATTAAAAACTGAGAAAAAGTCGAGTACACTCTACTGAATACATTATACAACGATGATCGAACGTGTGATTAACAACGGACTCTCTTGGTTCTTACGGTTCTTACAGTCTCAAGTGACTGAGAAAAAAGAGGAAAAAATAAAATTCCCTAGAACGGCGCGCGTAACACAGGGGCTGATCGAAAGAAAATACTGAGAAGACGAGCGAAATGTGAGAACAATTTTCGTGATTACTTTATTGCGCAACTCTCGCAAACCTAGTGTTCTAGCGTTTGAAAAGAAAGAAAAAAAGAAAAAAAAAAAAGAAAAAATGTACCGAAATATAATTTTCATTCAAAACAAGTTCGCGCGAATTAAAATTACCTCGGCAAACGTAGTCGTACAAACATAGAAAATCCCGGGCGAAAGCAGAATGTTAAACGTTCGATTCGAAAAAAAAAAAAAAAAAAAAAAAGAAAGAAAAAGAACTCTCTGAAACCTATTTCTGCCGGTGTTCCCGAAAATACGTCGCAATCCGTGAACGAATTTCTTCCAGACAACTGACCCTAATCCGGCATTTCTCTGGCCGGTCGTGCGCCTCCGTATTCTGAACTCGTGAGAGAGAATCGTGTCGCATTTCTCTTGTCAGACGAATCCTTATTGATATACTCGCGCCAGAACGTTCGTCACAAGCCGCTTCCCAGCGTCGTCAAAAGGCGACGAACGGGCCATTTCTAGGGTGCGCGAACATTTAGCGATTTTTACGACCGCTCGAGAAAAATATCATTCGCATTTTTTTTCAGAGACCTGAACAATTAATCATTAACACTCTGTAAAGTGTAGAAAGTTGACACAATTGGAAAATTTTATTTTATTTCGAGTTGAGACTCGCTGCTTCACTTGGAGCAATTATTATAACTGTAGATTCGAATTCTCAAACTGACAGAAAAATTAATTGAGCACAGCACGGATCTCAGCAGTGATTTATTTGGAAGAAAAATTTGTTCAATTATAAATATTCTATTCTGTTCATCAATACTATAATTTTATTAATTGATAAATGTATCATTGTAATTAACACCAGAATTGTCAAAGTGATCAAAATGATTAATTTATCATTTTCGTTGCAAGTTTTATGCATGTAAAATTGTGTTGTTTTTTTCTTTTAGAAATTTCAGGATTACACATCATCGCAAACGCACGTAACAATTAATTGACTTTATCATCTTGAAATAAATTCGAACAAACAACGATAACAACATTTGTTGATTCTCGATTGTCACAGAATTACCAGGCTAACACAATAATTTCAAACATGTGAATCACCACGTTTAGAATGCAATTTTGAATGAATTTATTATTGGCAAGTTGAATTTCAATTTATTAAATTTATCTACGACGTTTCAATATTCGAACACTCGAGGCCATTATTGTCCTATTCAAGGGGAATTTTGTAATTTTACTTTAACGTTTAAGTAATATACGGTGAGAATAGAAGGAGAATTTAATTCCTCGCGGAAAATGAAGTGAAACTTGCAGTATGAAGAGATGATTTCTCCAGAGAGGATAACTGTATTAAGTGAAACAGTATTTTCGTTCGTAGCATCGGCCACGTGTCGTCTGGCTTAATCGAATAATTTTAGTTAATTACGTGAAAAAATTTCTTTTTATCCAAGACGAGCAATTATTGATATTGTATTCATTTTTATTGCAATTATTTGTAAACTAACTTGTAACTCTGTACATTTGTATCTATATCTTGAGAATATATATTGATATAGATAAAAGTTACATTTTGGAAATATCTAAGGAGCAAACTGTTCAATAAAACTTAGAAGAAATTACGTATGAATTATGTATGTAAAATAAGAAATACTAATTATCTGTAATTTTTTTCTCGAAAAAGAAAAAAAAAAACATTCAATCTATTAAATATTGTATTCTATTCAAAGGCACATTACGAATCCGAATATTTATCGAATATAAATATAATTTTGTTGGTTCTATTATACAAGATGTCTAAATTCTCTCTCAGTTTCTATTTTTCAGATTCTATTTAAAAAAAAATGCGAATTATGCATAAATGTCTGTATAAAAAGTTGCAAGTAATAAAAAAGAAAAAATAATAAAATAAAATAACACAATAATAATAGAATAATAATAGAATAATAATAAAACAACACGATAATAATAGAATAATAATAAAACAACACAATAATAATAAAATAATAAGAGAATAATAATAAAATAAAATAATAATAGAGTAGTAATAAAATAACAAAATAATAATAGAATAGTAATAAAATAATAACAAAATGATAACACAATAATATAGTAATAAAATAAAATAATAATACTAGAATAATAATAAAATAAAATAATAACAATAGAATAATAATAAAATAAAATAATAATAATAGAATAATAATAAAACAAAATAACAACAATAGAATAATAATGAAATAAAATAATAACAACAGAATGATAGTAAAATAAAATAATAATAGAGTAATAATAAAATAACAAAATAATAACACAATAATAATGGAATAATAATGAAATAATGGAATAATAATAAAATAATAACAAAATGATAATAAAGTAATGAAATAACAATAGGAAAAATAGAAAAAACCATGAGGGGAACAAAAATATCGATCAACAGACGTAATGAACTCGTCAACCTTCATTCGTCGTCGAACAGGACAGGAGGAATCTTAACGTACGATTTGATCAGCTCTCAGACTTTTCGTTTGGATCAATTGTCCGGGACTCGGCGATTTATTACACGGTAGACAGCCGTAAATTTCACCGACAGCAGATAATCGTCGATTTCAGAGCTTCGTAAGCTACGCGAGAGGCATCTTAATCTTCGCGTGAATCAG